AAAAGGAAGAAGATTAGGAATAAGTGGGGAAATATAGTGAACTCTGAGAATCAGTATGATTTTTAAGAAACTTCAAACATATTAATACTAATATAAACCAAAAATCTTAGCTGCTAAGGTGGTTAAAAGGAAGAACTGCTCTTCACTACACATAGTAGAAGCTTAAGCAATTCCAACCTCACTTTGGTCATATTTCTATAACATCGTTAATCTGAGAAATAATTTCAATGCATCTCACACAGTACTCGGCACTTTGTAATTCTATGGTCTTCCTTGTAGATCATATTCTGTTCCTACTTAAAGGAGTTACTTTGCCATTTCTAAATACCTAATTTATTACTATGCACAGGATACAAGGCAATTTATGAGTCAATCAAAACATATTCTTGAGGAGCCTGATAAGGTTGCAAAATGTTTACTGTCTCCAAGCCATCTGTATCCTCACACTAGGCCCTCAGGGAGAAGCTAAAAATCTAGACTAGTTGCCAGGGAGATAGAAATTGAGTACATCCAGCATAAACTTACTCCAATTATTGTCATGGCATCAAACATATCAAAAATAGTGAAATGTTTCTTTGTAAACAGAATAAAAATGACCCAGCAACTGAGATGTATTTCTTCACAGATGAATGACACACCACCTCCAGCCTCCGAAGAAATAAATCCTGGAAACACAGAGAGTTCCCTCCTGGGTTAAATGCCTCACGCTACAGGAAAAATAGTTCTACAACAAGCACAGCCGGCGCTCCAAAGCTGTGGATTCCTCATTGTGGATTCAACCAACTATGGATCAGAAATATTCAGGCTGGGCACAGTGGCTCATACCTGTAATCCTAGCACTTTGGGAGGCGGAGGTTGCAGGATCACTTGAGGCCAGAAGTTTGAGACCAGCCTGGACAACACAGCAAGACTGTATCTCTACAAAAAATTAAAAAATTAGCTGGGCATGGTGGCATGCACCTGTAGTCCCAGCTATTTGGGAGGCTGAGGCAGGAGGATCTCTTGAGCTCAGGAGTTTGAGCCTACAGTGAGCTGTGATCTTGCCACTGCACTCCAGCCTGGGTGGACAGAGTGAGACTCTGTCTCAAAAAAAAAAAAAAAAAAAAGAAAGAAACTTCTTGTTTGAAGATTGGGGTTTAGATCCCAGTTCAGTAACCCGTGGGAACTTGGGCAAGTCATTCTGACTTCTCTGAGCTTTAGTTTTCTCATTTATAAAAGGCAAAACTATAAGATGTGCTCTGCCTATACTATAGCACTATCTTGAAGATAAAAAGAAACTATAGAAATAAAAGTACTTTATAAATTGTTATAAGAATATAAGTTTGCATGCCAGGAGGGCTAAACCGTTCTGAAGAGCTCCTCCTCTATAAACCTACGTCTATCTTTCTCCACCTCGCATGCACTTCACGCCCTCTACTCTCCTTTCTGTCTCTGAAGAAAGTGAAAGATGGAGGAGACACTGCTATGGTTTCCTACTTAGACTCTTTCCACATGGGGAATCTTTCCCTTGATCCTCTAACCAATGTTTCCTCAAAATGGTACCGTGACTTTGAGGTTGCTTACAAAGTTAACCATCCATTTATCCTGTGACCCAGCAATTGCACTCACAGGTGTTTACCCAAAACAAGTGAAATATCCACAAAAAGATTTGTACATGAATGTTCATAGCAGCTTTATTAATATTTTCCCTAAACTGAAATTAATTCAATTGTCCATCAACAAATGAAAGGATAAACAAATTGTGGTATAGCTATTCTGTAATAAAAAGGAGTGAATTACTGATTCACATAATATGGGTCAATCTAAAAAACATGTTCAGAAAGAAGCCAGACACAAAAGTATACTACTGTATACTCCCATTTACGTGAAGTCCAAAAACAGGCAAAACTAAGCTGTAGTGATAGAAATCAGAGCAGTGGCTGCCTAGAAGGGTAGAAACCAAATGCAAAAGGCTATGAAAGAAGTTTCAGGAGTAATGGAAATGTTCTGTATCCTAATTGTGTCTTGGTTACACAGGTGTAGACGTTTGTCAAAGCCAATCAAATTGAACACTTAAATCTGTGCCTTTTCCTGTATGTAAACTTGACTTCAAACATACACACATATACACAAATAAAAAACCCCTACTCTATAGGTGGAGTGTAGTTCATGCCCATAATCTCAGGGCTTTGGGAGGCTGAGGCAGGAGGATTGCTTGAGGCCAGGAGTTTGAGACCAGTCTGGGCAACATAGGGAGACAACTTTTTTTTTTTTTTTTTGAGACAGAGTCTCACTCTCTTGCCCTGGCTAGAGCGAGCGCCATGGCATCAGCCTAGCTCACAGCAACCTCAAACTCCTGGGCTCAAGCGATTCTCCTGCCTCAGCCTCCCGAGTAGCTGGGACTACAGGCATGCGCCACCATGCCCGGCTAATTTTTTCTATGTATTTTTAGTTGTCCAGATAATTTCTTTCTATTTTTTTAGTAGAAACGGGATCTCGCTCTTGCTCAGGCTGGTCTCGAACTCCTGAGCTCAAACAATCCGCCCGCCTCGGCCTCCTAGAGTGCTAGGATTACAGGCATGAGCCACTGCGCCCAACTGGCTCTAACTTTTATAACAATTTATTCTGAACCATTAAAAAAATTTTTTTTGAAAAGTTTCTGTTCATATCCTTTGCCCACTTTTTGATAGGGCTGTTGGTTTTTTCTTGATGATTCTCCTGAGTTCTATATAGATTCTAGTTATCAGCCCTTTGTCGGATGTGTACCATTGGTATTAACTGATCAACACTTGTGTGCACATACAGTAGTAACATTCATCGGGTGTCAGGGAGGGTGGAGGAGGGGATGGGTATATTCACACCTAATGGGTGCAGTGCGCACTATCTCGGGGATGGACATGCTTGAAGCTTGAAGCTCTGACTCAGGTGGGACAAAGGCAATATATGTAACCTAAACATTTGTACCCCCATAATATGCTGAAATAAAAATAAATTTAAAAAAATTTTTTTGATATGTTTATGCTGTAAAATTCAAAAACTTCAAAATGTTGTACAGTGAAAAGTCATTTTTCCTCCCATTCCTGACCAAAGTCCCACAGTCCCAGTTCCCTTCATTAGAGGCCACTGTACTTGTTGTTGTTGTTTGAGTACCCATTCAGAGATAGTGTATTGATATACAACCTATGCACACACAGCTTTTACACACACAGCTGTTTATAGATCCCTGTTCCCTTCCATAAACAGTAGCATATTATTCACCCAATAGTGCACCATAATTGTTCACTTACCAATTTATCACATACATTGTTCCCATCAGAAGCTTTTTTTAACAGTCACATAGAATTACCTTAATCGGATGTACCATAATTTATTTAACAAGCTCCCTACTGACAGACATTTAGGTTGTTTCCATGGTAATGACAACTTAAAGGGATTCCCGCCCATATGCAAGTAATTCTTTCCTACATCCTCTGCTAACAGTGTGCACAATCTTAAAAGTCATTTCCTATTCCTTTATTTTCCAGTCCCCTTCACTGCGAAGTCCTACTCACTCATTTCTCTCTCTCGACTGACATATCTCTTTCTTTTCATTTCCTCAGGCTACACTTCAGTTCTGTAGAAGAATCTCCCCAGACCTGCCCCAGTCATATTTCTGTCTCTAGGCCTCCCCCTACTTTAATTTATTCAACACACAGCTTTAGGAATCATTCTTCCAAAATCACTGCTTTATTTCATTTAAAAATTCATTTATTTATTTTTAGAGATGGGTTCTTCTTACTATGTTGCCCAGACTGGAGTGCAGTGGCTATTCACAGGTGCAATCATAGCTCACTGCAGCCTCGAACTCCTCAGCTCAAGCCAAGAGATCCTCCCGCCTCAGCCTCCTGAGTAGCTGGGACTACAGGTGCATGCTACCACACTAGACTAACTTTTTAAAAATTTTTTGTAGAGAAAGGGGTCTCACTATGTTACCTAGGCTAGCCTTGAGCTCCTGGCCTTAAGTGATCTTCCCACCTTGGCCTCCCAAAGTGCTAGGATTACAGGCATGAGCCACTGCATCCAGCCACAAAGCACATGCTTTTTAACTGCCAACCTACACTGTGTTTCCTAAATGGAGATAACATCATCTAGCTCGTGGTGATGTGAAGATTAACGGAAAGGAGTTATGTAAAAGCACCCAGCCCAAGCTTCACATGGCTGCCTCCTTCCCATCATTCAGGCCTCAGCCAAAATGTTACCTCCTCACAGAGGAATTCCCTGACTATCCTAGCCCCAAAGTAGCAACCTTTCATTAATCCCACATTGTCTAACTATTTATCCCATTTCAGTTTCTTTAGCATTAGCACTGTCCGAAATTTATTTATACATTTATTTATGGGTTTTATTGCCTGTCTCTCCTTACTAGAATGTAAGTTCCAGAGAGTAGGGACTGTATCTACCTTGTACACTGCTTGGCTTAATATATAAATGCTCAATAAATATTGTTGCAGGAACGAATTAACAGCTCATCTTATAGACGGAATAGATTTTCTTACCTTTGGCTTCTGTGAATTAAAAAAGGAAAAATAATTCAACATAAATCGACTCTAGCCCATTCAGATTACCAAAATTGAAAGAGAAATTTTACTAACAATAGGATGTAAAAAAAATTTTAAACACTTAAATCCTCATAATACCACCATGGGGTAGATATTAACATGGGCAGGGGAGATCAAGGCTCTGAGTTAGTAAATGGAAGAAGCAGGACCTGAACTCAGGTTTTTTTGACCCAAAACTCATGTTTTTAACCATTACATTAGACTGCTTTCCCCAAGTGAATTGAGTGGATATAAGCATTCAGATCCAAGACAATTTTGCTTTTAATAGTTTGGGACATCCTTAGATCAGTAATCTCTTCTAAAAAGAACTACCCCAGAAAAACCTGGCATTATTTGCAGCAAATGACTAGAAACCCTGTGAAGAAAGGTTATTTACTGTGTTTACTTTAGTCTTTGGCTCTGAAGAATCAAACCATGTCCTACCTGGGCAGCCTCGTAAGTGATGGTCTTGGTCTCAGTGTGGACGATAGGAACATCCTTGGTTGGGATTTCACTTTTCCCAGCATTGGCAGTATCTGAGATGGTGACAGTTTGCGTCTTCACCAGGGGAGGCTGTAAAGCAGTAAAGAAACAGTTATCAGAGTCCTTCTGAAGGCTGTGGAGAAGTCAATCTTCTGACATTGATCTGATCAAAGTGTCGCTTTAATCAAGCAAAAGGCTAGCTCAATCTCCAAAGGTACCCAAGACTTGGACACTATTCCAAAGTAGCCCTGACAAGGCGTCAAATCATGAGGGATATTAAAAAGCAGCATTAATATAATCACTTTCATAAGCTTAATGGAAAGCTATAAGATCAGAGAGTTACGATTGGTGATATAAAACATTTCAGACTGACCTTCAGAATTTGAATATAAAACTATTTGCCAAATAGCAATCACTTTTATTTGTCCTTGTGGCTGTACCATTATAATTAAGAAAATCAGCCACATTTCCTCCACTAAGTACAAATGGTACATGAAACAGCAATGGCACTGGAATGCATTACCGTGGAATTCATTAACTTCTTTCAAATCAATGTCAGACATTCACTTTGGAGTTACTGAGAAGAAACAGTATTTGGAAAATTGGAAAGAAAAAAATCAGTTCTACCACCACCTGGTGATTAATCTCAGAATTTCAGAAGAATGAGCATTAGCGGAATATCAAAGGCCTTTTTGTCCATCTGCTTACCTTCCCCAAGACTATAAATCACCTAAAACTACATTTGATGTGGTAAGGTTAAGTAGCCATTCACCTTAGCATAAGAAATTAGTGCCTATGATCCTGGAAGCCCCTGTGAGTGGAGTTAGTGGGAGTGGTGGGCTGCACGATGTGGCTGCAGTATATAAATTATTATTGGGGGCCTGAGATCTCATTTAAAAAATCAGCTGCCTCTTTAATTAAGAGTATTTGAATTTCTTGAGCATGATCTCATAACGCTGGAGGCTCCTCACCATAGAAGTCTCCAAAATTCACCTCCTTCCACAGCCCGCACTTGAGCAAGGAAGAAATGAACATACTTATGCCAGCTTCCTAAAGACAAATAGCTGGAGTTCACTCCTAGGAGTCTTGTTAAGTCATCAGGGGAGAAAGCATTTCCAGCCATGGAATTAATTCCTCTGAATGGACTTCTTTGTAGCAATCAAAGGCTTTAATTTTACTCTATGATTTTGAAAAAAGCGGAGAGGCCACTACCCTCACCACACCACTACCACCTCCTCCACGGGATAGATTCTGGCCCTCTGCCAAAGAGAGTCATTAGACCTGCATCATCAAATCAGTTACTACCTGGAAACTTCGAATGAGGGTGGGGAACTCGTTACCCACACGAGAATCAAGAAATGATCCATTTTGTTTTCCAAGTAGCTCTCCTGGTTCTTCACTATTCTCTGGCTTTTTTTCATCAAGTTGCAGCTGACAGGAAGCTGGTGTTACTGAGAACTTTAAGGCACTGGCCTGTTCCTCCACTCCTATACATTCCCCATTTGGGCCTCTCGGCATCTCCTTAACATCAAGAGAGCTAGCTGCCCCCTGTTCCTTCTCTTCTGTCTCCTTGCTGCTTATGGAGAGGGAGCCAAAGGCAAAGCTTTGTGGTGACTCCGACGGGGTGGGCATCTGGCTCTTACTAGGAACTACTGATTGCTTGGGGCCCTCCCATTCAGAGTCTGGATTAGTAGACGGCCCCTTTGTCACGACAGCCACCTCCTCTGTGCGAATGCCATTTATACTCTACAAATGAATGAACATACACAAAAGGAAGAAGATTAGGAATAAGTGGGGAAATATAGTGAACTCTGAGAATCAGTATGATTTTTAAGAAACTTCAAACATATTAATACTAATATAAACCAAAAATCTTAGCTGCTAAGGTGGTTAAAAGGAAGAACTGCTCTTCACTACACATAGTAGAAGCTTAAGCAATTCCAACCTCACTTTGGTCATATTTCTATAACATCGTTAATCTGAGAAATAATTTCAATGCATCTCACACAGTACTCGGCACTTTGTAATTCTATGGTCTTCCTTGTAGATCATATTCTGTTCCTATTTAAAGGAGTTACTTTGCCATTTCTAAATACCTAATTTATTACTATGCACAGGATACAAGGCAATTTATGAGTCAATCAAAACATATTCTTGAGGAGCCTGATAAGGTTGCAAAATGTTTACTGTCTCCAAGCCATCTGTATCCTCACACTAGGCCCTCAGGGAGAAGCTAAAAATCTAGACTAGTTGCCAGGGAGATAGAAATTGAGTACATCCAGCATAAACTTACTCCAATTATTGTCATGGCATCAAACATATCAAAAATAGTGAAATGTTTCTTTGTAAACAGAATAAAAATGACCCAGCAACTGAGATGTATTTCTTCACAGATGAATGACACACCACCTCCAGCCTCCGAAGAAATAAATCCTGGAAACACAGAGAGTTCCCTCCTGGGTTAAATGCCTCACGCTACAGGAAAAATAGTTCTACAACAAGCACAGCCGGCGCTCCAAAGCTGTGGATTCCTCATTGTGGATTCAACCAACTATGGATCAGAAATATTCAGGCTGGGCACAGTGGCTCATACCTGTAATCCTAGCACTTTGGGAGGCGGAGGTTGCAGGATCACTTGAGGCCAGAAGTTTGAGACCAGCCTGGACAACACAGCAAGACTGTATCTCTACAAAAAATTAAAAAATTAGCTGGGCATGGTGGCATGCACCTGTAGTCCCAGCTATTTGGGAGGCTGAGGCAGGAGGATCTCTTGAGCTCAGGAGTTTGAGCCTACAGTGAGCTGTGATCTTGCCACTGCACTCCAGCCTGGGTGGACAGAGTGAGACTCTGTCTCTAAATAAAAAAATAAATAAATCATCTGTACTGAATATGTGCAGACGTTTTTCTTGTCATTATTCCCTAAACAATATAACCAACTATTTATATAGCATTTACATTGTATTAGGTATTATAAGTAATCTATAGATGATTTAAAGTATATGGGAGGATATACATAGGTTACACGCAAATACTATGCCATTTTATATCAGGGACTTGAGCGCTCATGGATTTTGGTATCCAGGGGAGGTCCTAGAATCAATCCTCCACAGATCCCTAAGGATGACTATACATCAAAGAGAATACGGATGAGAAGATACCATTACAGTAGATGGACCTATTCCTGAAGTTAAAAGAAAGTTGCTCTAAGTGGAAAAAAGGAAGAAGGAATTCACACTAGTAGGAAAGGAATATGGGTCATTTGAAAAATGAATAACCTAACAGAAGCCAATGTCATGGCAAGTAACACCTGTATGTGCTCACCAGAAAGCTGTAAATAAGCCATTTAGGCCTAAAATCTTGGTCAGATCATTTGGCCATATTATTAATACACACCACATAGAAACTTAATAAACTTTTAAGACAGTAATCCTGGAGTAAATGACATAGCTTAGACCAGCGTACACATTTTAGTACTCAAGTCATGTTATATGTATAAGAAAATCATTGCTGTTCCTTAACTTGTAAACCAGCCTCCACTGTGATGAATATAAACCAGTGCTCTATTAAGGAAAGGAAAGACACCACATTCAGGAACTTCAGGCCAGCTTCACTCACTCCCAAGCCATCTTAGAACATGCAACTCAAAAGCATCTCAAACTGGCACCAGCTGAATTCAGATTAGGCAGATCCTTCATTGGCTGATTATGAATATGACTTAGGACATGAAAGATGGAATTGAGAGATTGACAACAAAGCTGTCTCTATCTGCCAATATATCTGAGATACATAAAATATTCTTGTCAAGAGTATATATGAATTTCCTCATATTTCAAATGAGAATACTTGGTTTGACTCATAGGGTTCTAAGTATCAAATACAATAACATACTGTATATGAAAAAACTTTGCAAATTATTTTTTTTAAATAAATTTTCACATTTGATTGATTGATTGATTGAGACAGGGCCTCACTCTGTTGCCCAGGCTAGAGTGCAGTGGCATCATCATATCTCACCTCAACCTCAAACTCCTGGACTCAAACGATCCTCCTGCCTCAGCCTCCCAAGTAGCTGGGACTACAGGGGCCCATGCCACCACACCCAACTAATTTTTTAAAAAATTTTTTGTAGAGATGGGGTCTTACTATGTTGCTCAAGCTGGTCTCAAACTCCTGGCCTCCCAAAGCGCTGGGATTACAGGTGTGAGCCATCATGACTGGCCACACTTTGTAAATTCTAAATTCTACCATACCAATTTATTTATCTTACCACTTGATTCAGACAAGCTGCTACAGAGTTGTCCAAAAATAGATCAGCTGTTAATAAACAAATAGGCTTTCTCAAATTGCTATATGCTAACCCTAGCATTGTGAATAGCATATCCAAATCTATTCATATGGAGAGGAACTTCAAGGCCTCTCCAAATAATTTTGTTACAACTGAGAAGGCTGATTAATAATCAGGAAAATACCTAAGATAATCAAGTAAGGGCCAATTTTGGATCAGTCAGCTCAAGTAATAAGTGATCATGTGTCATCAAGAAGCTGTTTCCGAATTAAACGTTGCCAACACCACCTGACCCAAAGTTGCCCGCTGCCGAGTAAAATTGGATAGATCAACCTTTTTTTTCAAAGCATGTATAGAAGAGACCAAGGGTAAAAGCTGTAGCCACAGTAATTTCAACCCCAAAAATATTTACTGAGCACCTAATATGTATTAGTTATTAGAAATGAAAGGGAAACTGTTAATAGTTGGGTTGGATTATCATTTATAGCTCTCACATATGGTAAAATCAATCTCTCTAGTTGGCTCTGTTGTCCAGCTCTCTTGCACAACATAGACAACTATTTGCTGAACATCCTCCCAGGCATGTAGAATGGAACATGCCTCAAACTAAACTTATCCTTGCTGCTGCCTGGGCCTCGCACCCCAACTTCCTCTGTCATTTCTACCATATTGGTAGATGGCACCATCATCCATCCAGTCTTCCAGGCCATAATCCTAAGAGTCATCTTCAGTGCCTTCCTTACACTCATCTGTCAACTCCCAGAGATTATATAATCAAGTCATTTTTATTCTACTTTAATAATTC